AGGGGTAAAAAATAAATGTATCATAAATTTGAGAGACTGAAATCATATTTAAGCCTAAGATTAATATAACTAAATAACAAAATTATTTCTCTAAATATTTAATATACTTGTGTACTCATAATTAAAACTTAAAACTACTTTTCTTTGTATATCAAACGTGAATGGCTGCCCAAGAGTGTTTTAAGAGGACTATTCTTCTACATGAGTATTTTCAATAATTTTTTTTTAACTTTTTATCAAACTTAATTTTTTATTATCATATTTAAAATAAATTATTAATAATTAAAGTAATTGCTTACCGCAATATAAGTTATTTATCTTAAATAAAAAATATAATTTATTTATTTAAATATAATTTATATATTTAAGTATAATATTTATTTGGACATATAATTTATTATAAAATCTAGTTATATAATAAAAATATAGTTTATAAAATACATACTAAAATGATAATTAATTAATTAAGTTGAAATAACTTCATACTCAATGGTTATATATCTTATATTTTGATATGAATAAATATTTATTATAAATTTATGTATAAATGTAAAAAACAAATGAATTTCATATTTATCACCCATGTAAGATTAAATAATAAACATAAAGTTAATATTATCACATTAAATAAGACTATCATATTTTTTTATTAATTATTATTTTATAAAAGTGGAGTTTAATACTAAGTAAATCAATGAAATTCACTAGCATTATTTACAAATAATTTTTTTTTGCAAATTGAATTTATTTAAAGTTAAAATTTAAAAACTATAATCGAAACACTAAATAAACCTTGTTTTACCCTATGCTAGTTTAAATCATCAAAAATGTTAGAAACACGTTCAATGACACATTCTTCAGAACATTATATTTTATTAGTTAAAATTAATGAAAATGTAAAATTTTACAAGATTCATCATTTAAATAATTTCTCTCACGACTTTGTATTTTTTAATAATTTTTAATCAATAAAATTAATATAGTGTATTCAAAATTGTCGAGATGGACTTACTATTGATATTTTCATCTACCTATAAAACAAAGTTATTATAAGTTAATTAACTTGTTTATTATTTTCACACTTGTTAGAACTACATAGTCAACAAGGGTTTGCTTTGTCATTTTAATTGGCACATATTTAATTAAATGAAATGTGTTTTGAGTCACTATATTTTGGTGCAAAAGATTCAACAAAAAATATATTTTAGTGCGAAATTCTGTATATGTTATTTTTAATAATCATTTAAAGTTATATACACAAATCAATAAATGTTATAATTCTTTTATTTTTTATAAATTAATTTTTAATATAATTTTTTATTAAAAAGAAAACGAGGCTTTGACCCATGCCAAGAACAAAGCACAATGAAAAAAGAAAATATCAAAATAAATAGTGTGAATTCATTACATATTTACAAAAACACCTTAAATTACTATTAAAATTTTAAAAGATACAACGTGTGATCAAAATTTTTCTTCTTCAAAATCCCTTAAATGACATTTTTTTGAGTGAATGAATTTCGTGTGGAAAATTTAAAAATAGACAGCGTGTTTAAGAATTTTTCTTGCAGTCCTCGTAAATATTTCATTATAATTTATAACAATGAGCCTATATATAAATTTGTAATTTTTTTTAGTTGAAGACCTTTTATCTTGATCAAATCCATCTTTATGGATTAAACATGAATAATTAACTATCATGTAAGATAACATTTTTAGAATTTTTTTAACATGAAATTTTTTAGAATTTCTTACCCATTTTAATTTTTATTTATCATATTTATTCATAAATTAAAATTTAATATTTTAAATAAATTATACATAATTAAAAATAATCTTATGTCACAAATAAAATATTTATCATAAAGATAAAATATAATTCATATATTCAAATATAATATTTATTTACTGTATATAATTTATTTTAAATTATAATTTTGTATAATAAATATTTAATCTGTATATTACATAAATTAAAATACTAGTTATGAATATTCACTATACAATAATCTTAGTCTTTTATAATACATAAAATTCACAATAATCTTCAAGTATTTTTTTTTAAACTTTTGCAACAACTATATTTTTTAACAGTAATAACAACAACTATGCTAAAAGTCATATTAATATTGATATATTTTTTTTACATAGCATAACCATTGTTAAATACATAAAATCCATACTCGACCAAACTTTAGTTAAGAAAAAGAGACTTTTATTCGCCTAAATCAAGTACATCAATTAATACATCATTTTCCAAAAGATAAAAAGTATCAATATAGTACATAGTACCTGACTTTGTGTATACGATATATGTTTACTGATTTATATTGTCTTTAAACAGAAATAAGAGAAAGTTACCAAATCTAGAATGTTCCAACAGAATCAATGCTACGCGTATTAGAATTTGGTTGGTGATCACGACGAAATACAGAGTTAGCATGAATTCTTATCAACCTTTCGAAAATTGTAACATCCAAAAATCTTCCAATGCCAACTACGCGGTGTGAAACAGAACCCTTCACCATGAAGAAAGAAAAATTGGTTAATTTTCTTTGATCTGTTAACACAGCTAGGAAGTGCAAATTCATAGGCGTATAAATAACTTTGTCACTCATGGTTGCATAATTAATTAAGATCATTTGAAAGCCATAGACTCCTCTCTTTGGGTCCCGGAAAATAATAAAGTGCAATAGCATCATAGTCTCAAATTTGATACACAAAGAAGTGAAAGAAGATAAGGCCTCCAAAGAAATTAGTCACTTATAGTCTCATTCTAATGGGTGAACAAGAATTTCGTAAATCAGATAATAGAGGAGATTTTGGTGATGGTGGCTCGGTTCAATCAAAAACAACAAGACATGGGTGCTTTGGCATGGTCAAGGAGTACAAATCCAGGTTTTATATTGTCAGAAGATGTGTACGGTTGCTGATTTGTTGGCACAAAGATGACAAGTATTAAATCCTCCAATTCTTTTTTCATTTTTCAAAAGAAAAAAGAAGAAGAATCTTTTAGTGGATATTATGAATTAGAACTGATTGCTGCCATAAATGTTTGTATATAAGATTACAAAGAAATATGAGGGAAGGTGACAGTTAGCTTGTTATTGTAAGGAAGTTCTTCAATTTGAGACATCACAAGAGTTTTATTATGTGAAAAATGTTCATTTCACTCGAATTTGATTAATCAAGTAGTTAAATTTACTTTCATGTGAAAGTTGTCAACCAAATTCTCTGATATAAATTAAATTAGATTAAGAAAAATAAAAAATTAGAAGGGTTTTAATACGGAACTATTCTCCAAACTCTTTTTTCACTTCTCATTGATGGCTAAGAAACCTCTTTGTTGATAGCTAGGGCAAAACATTTAAATTTAGGAAGTTGAAATTTGTCAAGTATGGACATATCATACTAACAAGTAATTTATGATGATCAAACAAAAGATGTCCACCATTTACAGCGTGTTTAGTCGTAGGTACAAGATACACGAGCCTTTCTAGAAACTACTATTATTTATAGCTTTTAAGATTTTTACAGATTAGACGAGATTTTATGCATTTCATATGTGCGTACAAACAAATATTTAGTCCACCTCCAATAAAATAGTTCTATTTTTATGTAGGGTATTTTATTGACACTTACAAATGAGTATATAATCAATCAATCAACGTGATCAAAAGATTGAGAAAAAAGCTTTCAATTTCTTGCTTACTTTTATCTATATAATTATTTCTAATTTTTTTCGTAACAAACGTACGCATCTAAGAAATACTACTTTGCATTCAGTAAAACATTTCCCCTTATAAAATAATTAAGATAGGTCCAATTTAATTTCATGTGTATTTTACTTTTCTTTACATCTAACACTATTTTAGTACATAAGTCGGATTATAACTTTGAAGAGAATGAACAAAAGACAAAATAAAATTTAATTGTTTTTTTTTTTAATTTAATAAATTTAACTTGTTCGCTTTTTTATTTATTTTTAATTTCAACTTTTTCGTACTGGTCTCCATTTAGCTGTAGCTTATGAGGCTGAAATGGAACCCATCCCAATTTAATGATTGAGCTTAAGTAGTATTTAGACAAGCTTGTATGTACATTGATAATCCATCACCCCACTTTGAGTAAAGGGAATTCATTTCATACAAAATTATATTTTCTTAAATTATATCAACTTGTATGTGGAAATTCCCTTACACGATTAGCGTGTTTGGGTGTTTGGTTGGTTTTACGTTTCGGATGTAGAAATTTTGTACATCTGAGATGTGATTTTTAGAAACAAATAATTATAGTTTTTATATCCCAAATTTGGTAGTAAACCACGCTAAATAATGATCTAAGAATAGTAAACCACCACAAACAAAAATTCTCTTGTCTAATTCAGAAGTTAAATTTTTGGCTTCTAGAGTTAACTGTTAAACATCATGAATGGTTGAGTCAATAATGCGTTCTGTAATTGGACATTATTCCTTTCAATATAACTTAAATCATTTTATTATCAGATAAAGTTAAGAATGTATTTGTTCGAAACAGTAACATTTAAGACACTACTGGTATCGTCATTAATCAATATCAATACTGTGTAGCAGAAATTTGAAAGTGTCAAGGTTAATAACTTATAAAAAAAATGTTATATCTATTCATTAGAATGCCACATACAACTCTTCTCTA